AAAAAAAAAACAAAAATCTAATATATACATATAATACTATATATATTCTACCTCCTCTACTATCTACTACTACTACTACTACTACTACTACAACTACTACTATTACTATCTATCTATCTATCTATCTATCTATCTATCTATCTCTGTCTTTCTGTCTCTCTGCCTCTCTTCCCCCCTCCCCGCCTCTCTCTCTCTCTCTCTCTCTCTCTCTCTCTCTCTCTCTCTCTTTCTCTCTCTCTCTCTATCTGTCTCTCTGCCTTTCTGTTTCTCTACCTCCCTGTCTCTCTGCCTCTGCCCCCCCTTCTGTCTCTTTTCCCCTGTGTATGTGTGTGTGTGTGTGTGTGTGTGTGTGTGTGTGTGTGTGTGTGTGTGTGTGAGAGAGAGAGAGAGAGAGAGAGAGAGAGAGAGAGAGAGAGCGTTTGTGTGTGTGCGTTCGTGTATGCGTACGTGTGTGCGTGAGTGCGTGAGTGCGAGTGTGTGTGTATGTGTGACTGTCTTTTTCTTTTTCTTCTTTTTCTTCTTTTTCCACCCCTGAATTCCTCCCCCTTCCATCCCTGATTTCTTCTCCCTTGCGTCAATTTATAAACCAGTGCAAAAAGAAAAAATTGAAAAGCTAAAAATTCTCACCTTCATTTTGTCATGTGTAATTAACATTTTGAAGACGCACATTCTGGTCTTTCGAGCGCTTGAAGACGCGCCCTTTTGAAGTACTAAACGAAGCATAATAATAACTTTGTAATTTTTAAAAGTCTTTCTATTCTGTTCCGTTTCAGCCACAGTTCCACGAGCGCTCGCGTACTCGCGATTCTTTGAAGCCGACTGAATCGCGAATCGCCACTCTCAAATTTGGCGAGCAGGATCCAGCCCTAAATGTAAATTTGAAATGAACCACTAAATTGTCTTTGGTCAGATGCTGATCGAACAAATTAGGTGACCGCTACATCCTTAAAGAGTAAAACAGTAATTTAGCTTCAGTAACGCATACAAATACCCACACTCCACCGCTGTATAAAGCTGTACTTATACTTTTATTCTGTTTCACACAGGCGTTCAAGAAAGGAGTGGTCCGACTTTTTGGCGAAAAGCCCAGAGAGATACGATATCAAGTTGCCTGAGCTTGGATCTTCTAAAGGTAAACAAATAGATTTCTTACAGATTTGTATAAGTTGGAAGTAAAACTTGATATTCAGATCATTTAAAAGTACAACACATCTTCGTTCTTCGAAAGGTATCAAAATAGACAGACAGGTAAAAGATGTTTAAACTGGAAGTGAAAATGACTTTCAGATGACGAAAAATTACAACGCAGTCGCTTGATAACTGCTTAATAAATCCCTTGGCCCAACTGAGTGAATGATATTGTTTGTTTTACGCTCCTGTCAACACAATAATTTGTGAGGCATCGGGATGAAATCAGGCGCTCGTCAAAATAATGAAATTAGAATTTTTCAGTCCTTTGGGCAATTTATTGTTGTTGTAGTTGTCTTTTTTTGGCTCAACACCTTCTACGTCGTTTCAAAAACACATTTGAATTTATGTGTGGATTATAAAAAAACAAAAAACAATGTGGATTATAAAAAAAACCAAAAACAATGTGGATTAAATTAAATTTTCAATTTCCAAGGAAAGGACTCTGTTTGGTGGCCATTTTCTCGCTAATTTTATCTCTGAAACCAGGTGACCCCCCCCCCCCCCCCCCCCCGCCCACTTTCTTCAATTCTTCAATCGCAAATACCTCGACTTCTGTTCACGATAGATGGATAATTTTTTCATCAAAATCAAACAAAGCAAATAAACAGGCTTTAAGAGAAAACCTTAAGGTCCATGTACCCAAAACCTGCCGAGAGCCTGATTCCACCGCGCAGTGACACATTTAGATCATAATGTAGGAACGGACCGCTTCGACCGTACGTCTCAGAGCCTTCACAGCATCAGTTACGAGATAAGTAAATTTGTGCAACATAGCAACATAAACTAAGACAGAGGGTTTTTCCCCCTCTTACCCTATTTTAGAGGTTCCAAACTTGTATAAAGTTTATCGGCTATTAGAGAAATGTAGACGGAATACTGACGTCTGTGGTCTAGCAGGAGGGCATTTCGCCGTTGTACGGAGGAGACGCGGGTTCGATTCCCGTATTTGTTTGTCTGTTTGTTTGTTTGTTTGTTTCTTTTTTTCTTTTTTTTTTTTAAAATCGAGCATTTCAGCCTGTCTGCTTGGATGCAGTTTCCGTCTAAGCCTGAGTTGCCCAGGCAGGCAGGGTTGAAGCAGCCCGTCTCCTAAATGGTCTAAATTGTGTCGTTGTGGCGTGAAACATGCACAAATATTGCTATTTTTAGTCATAGTAGCAGAACGAAGTAGGGGGTGGAGCTTGTTTGAGAAATTCCGGTTAACTAAAGACGTGAGTTGAGTGTTATCTTCTTCTTCTTCTTCTTCTTCTTCTTCTTCTTCTTCTTCTTCTTCTTCTTCATTACGTTCCCCTACTCGATCTCAGGGATTGTCAACTGCTTCTTCTTAAACCTGCAGTGCAACTGATTTTTACGTATGTGACCGTTTTACCTACTTCGTAGGGCCCTAGCCTTCAGGCAGCCACATTCTGATTTCAAAGGTACTCTATGTTTTTATACTGAAAAGAGTACTTTCAGTTTTGGAAAGAATTAATTCTGAATTGTAACTTGAAAATAGAAATGAAAGTTGTATTGTCAGAACAGGACCAGAGAACAGGAAAGGAAGTGGGAGAAGAGAGTTTTACAGAAGAATTCGTTCATCATCTGACCGCTACATATTGAATGAGAGGCAAACACCGTACCTTTAGACCGTAATAGACCCCCCCCCCCCAGTTGCTCGTGTTCGGAGCACTTTTTCCTTTAACCATATTTCTCCTCCCCCTCCCCTCCTCCTCTTCCTCCTCCTCCTTCTCCTCCTCGTACTACTACTACTACTACTACTACTACTACTACTACTACTACTACTACTACTACTGCTACTACTACTACTACTGCTGCTGCTGCTGTTGTCGCCTGTGCTATGTCGGTCAACGTTACCTCAAAATCCATATCGCTCCCAGTACCATTCCCAACATCTTAAAAAATTCATGATCTACTGTTTACACTTCGCTTTCTTTCTTTCAGACATTCACTTCGACGGATACGCCGTGAGGTATTTGCGACCCGACATTACCAAGTCCTGGAAGGTAAGACAAGCCCTGCGCATACCCCCAGGATGCAAGGGGCATGCTCAATTATAATTTATATCTGGACTTTAGTGACAAAGAAAAAAGGGGGAAATTTTATTTATTATCGATTATGAGTGCAACAGCAAAAGAGGCGTAATTAAAAAAGAAAATGTCAATGATCAGGAGTGCAACAGACCCCTGTGTTGATCACTGATACCGTCAACGTGGAGTTAAAAAAAAAATTCAATTGAAGAAATACATTCCTATATCTGGTCATCTCAGCCAATCAAGTACAGATAGCCTACCATTTTTGTAAAAACAAAATTTGGAGTTAATGCTTCTGGAGTTCATGTAGGATTTGGAACGCCCCATTACTTTGTATTCAAACAACACAAAACAGTGTCGTTTGTTATTATTGTTTTGTTTTGTTTGTTTTTGGCCAGTGTATTGTTTTGCGTTTTTATGGTTGATACATTGTTATTAGGTGGGATTTTTTAAAAGTGTTTTACAGCGTTCCCAAACTGCACAAGGCCACATATGAGCGCGGTAGATAGATATTTCTGGGCGTGTGTCCGAGTACTCTATCTTTGACAGTAAAAGATTTGATGTATCTGATCCCAACAGCGATGAAAATAATATTGTAGTAAGCCTACATTGTGTTCAGATCAGCACAGAAGTCGCCGATTCCTATTTTCATCGCAACCAGGAGCTTCTGAATACATGTCATGTATTAAATTACATAATTCAGCCAATGTACATGTATGCTAACAAAATGGGTTACTTCTCGGATTATTTTAATCCTGTGAACATAGATACGTCAGATCTATAGGCTGAATTTGTACAGTTTATTAGTAAAATATAATGGCATCATTTGAAAATCTACAAATCTAGCATTAGTGTTCATTTTGGGCAGATATTTCTATTCGCTGATTGCGAGAAATAACTCATTTTGTCGGCACGCCTTGCTTATTGTAGATATACTGTATAAAATAGAAATAGGCATACAAGTATAAGTAAACAAATTGCTTTTTCATTTCAGTACACACTTCAACAAGAGCCCAAGCTGGACCAGTACGCCCAGAAGCCTGTCCCAGCTAATATCTAGTAAGTACACTTAAGATACTACAAAAACTTTTACTTCACTACTCTCAAAAATTGGGATTCTAAAGCGTAAACTTATTATGTATTTGCCTGTAAAAATATCCTAACAACCTGTGCACCCTGACGTATTTCCAGTTCCCCATGGACGCACCGCTTGCCTCAATCTGAAGCCAAATGAAAGAATACCGGGGAGGGGGGGGGTGGTGGAAAAGCTCAAGCGACTAAAACGAGATCAGTGTTTTGCCTGCCCTTCACTTGGGCGCCTTTCGTGATAATACTTCTCAGCAAAGTTTTTGTAGAGCACAGCGAGCGTGGACATTACAGTACAAAATCCAGGACCTTATTTTAAAAGTGTAAGTCTGTGTTTCAGAGACAAAGAACCTGGCCCGGGGTAAAGATAAAGAAAAAAAAAAGACAGAATGCGGACACGACATGTAAAGAGATGATTAAGTATCGCATAGAATGTCTAATGAGCCTATTTGTTCCTTTGTTTTGCCCCACAACGGGTTTGGGGGGGGGGGGGGGGGGGGGCGCTAATCGAGATCATCTTAGTGTATACACCATCTACAATTACAATAGTCCTATATAATAAGTTAAGGTCTTCATTTTTTTGCTTATTTTTTTCCAGTGCTCGCTACAGGGACACATACCCACAGTATCACAGAAATGTGGCCTCTGAAATGTGGCGATAAGCGACATAGACCTACTGTCAGGAGGAGTTTCGCGGGCAAGACAAAGAGCGACTAAACAGCTGCGAGACTGGATGCTAATGGCGTTATCTTTCTTATAACAACACACAGTTTAAAGGACTTATCGTAAAGCAAAGTAAAGTTAAAGGACTGATAGCGCTCACATTGGGTTTTTTCTACGTCCATGTACTTTATTTTTTGTTGTTATATATTGTAAGAGTTTAAGGGTGAAGTATTGTAGAAGCCAGAGATGTGCGGAGAACTTCTACCAATCGCATTGACGAAAGTATAATATTGATATTTATAATCTGTTCTTAACTTTATCAGTGTTGCAGATCTTTATCTTTTACAAAGATACACGTATAAGACTACTCTTGTGAATTCTATTGACAGCGAAACAAGGCGGCCACGCCATGCCTTTAATACTTTAAACCCATGTGATGAAAGTTCTCGCAGACTTATTTCTTTTTTTAAAGCCTGAATTAGCAACACTGAAAAAAGCGTTGCCTTGAGAATATCGGTTTTCCAATCACCTCCATTGTTATGAGAAGATGTTTAATTGTAATCAACTTAGCATTTATTAGTATGTTACAAACTTTATTGTCGCTTCAAAGAAAATTAATTATTATAGATTTGGAATGTTAACGTTATAAAATTACTCTCATTTCACGTTAGTTTAATCATTATGTTCATTATTGCGTTGTAAACGGTAGCCACATCTGGAGGTATCTCCTGTCTCATTACCATTCAGTATTCCAAACTGCAGGTACCAATTTAACGTACCTGTAGTCTGTATGCACACTTTCTTCAACAGTATTATTCTTTACTTTTTTAATGAAAACTATGTTACTCTGTCAGTATTACTATCAAGTCTCATTATAATTATTCTTTGAACAGTATTAGCATGTCGGGAACATCTTTGTCATCAATTATTGTTCCTGATTACTTCAAGTATACACACTACACTGCAGTGTGTTAGAAAGAGTGAAAAGATCTTGTATTTTCTAGAGATGAATTATATCCTGTCATCATTGCAATGACTCATGCTATGGTATTATTAATGAGGCATCAATCACAAAATGCAGCGTGTTAATAGACCAATTGACCGCTACATTGAAATATCCAGCCATTAATATCGATACACCATCTAAAACAAGCAGCCATTAAAACAATAATATTGTCTCCTGTGTTTATAATTTTCCAGATAGCGCTCCACCAAAAGAAAAATACCTTTTAAACACATTCGTTCAACCTGTTCTTTATAATAATGGTATAGGCATATTTCTCTCGCCCTACAGAATGACAATGTCTCTATGTTATTGAAAATGAGGGGGGGG